TGAGAAAAGAGTAACAAATGTGTCATATACTAGGACCCAGAGGTGGAAGCCATATATTCAGAATGTACCTTACCAACCCTGTACTGCTGACTTTATGTATAAGAGAAATAAGCATCTGAAAGTTCAATCTTAATTAAGTAACTAGATCTTTTGTTTTGTTTTTGTTTGGGTTTTGTTGTAGTTGTTGTTTGCTTTGTTGTTGTTGTTGTCTACTTCCTAATACAAAGCTCAAATTGATTGGAATATCCAACCCTTTCAGAAAAACAAACCCCAAAACATGTACAGCCAAAGGAAATTCCTAGACAAGAATTTTGGTAGGGGAGGGGGCCTTGAAGGTAGTGCAACATTTTTCCTGATAATACAAGCCTATGGTTGGCCATTACTGTAAGAAGGATTCTTAGGATAGACTAGGTTAAGCTACATTAACAAGCAACACCAAAGGCAATGTGGCTCAACATACAAATGCTTATTTCTTACTCAGACGAATGCATCATGGGTCCCGGTGGGTCTTCGGGGCAACCGCTTTCCATGTGGTAACTCAGTGACCTGCATTCCTCCATCTTTTGACCTTGCCAGCCTAACACAGTGCATTCTCCAAGATCACTGAAGCGGGGAAACAGATCATGAGAAGGTCTCACACCATCAGTTAAATGCTTCGGTCTAGAAGTGACACATGTCACTTCCATTCATAACCAATGACTGCAGCTGGTCATACAGGTCTGCCTCACTGCTGGGAAGCTGAAAAGCGACATCCTCCTGCTGCCAAAAGAAGAGTGTAGCTGGGTGTGGGTGTGCACTAGAAGCACCCACCACGGAGAGCCTCTGCAGGCACATAAACACCATGCTTAGCACAGGGGCTCAGTGCTTAACAAATAGGGGGAAATCGGGGCGAAAAGGCCCAGAATAAGTAAGGAGGAGAAGAAGAGAGAAGCCTGGAAGAAATGTACAGAAAGAAATCAGATCCAGAACCCAAAGCAAGCAAGCCCCAGAGCACAGCCCATGGGATGCTAAAGCCAGCTCTCATACTAGTTCATCAGCGTCAATTGCTAAATATTCAGGAATTTTGCACAGCAGTTGTTACACAGATTATTAACAATCTGTTACACAGATTATTAAAATTATATAAGAGGCACCTGTCTCAGTCAGTTGAGTGTCCAATTCTTGGTTTTGGCTCAGGTTATGATCTCAGGGTCCTGAGACTGAGCTCCATGTCAGGCTCCGCACTCAACATGGAGTCTGCTTGTCCCTCTCCCTCTGCTCCTCCCCCCAATACACTCTCTCTCTCAAATGGATGAATGACAATCTTTAAAGAAAGTATATAACCTTACAATTAAATAAACTGTATCAAAGACAAAGGTCATATATACTCAAAATAACATCACTTCCTAATTCTGTACGTTTTACTATCATCTGTGTTCTTGGGGTTACCTCCATCTATCACAGAGCATGGCATGCTTCCGAACATTTCTTCCCAGCGCCGTCCAGAGACGTGATTTGGCAGCTGGTGGGAGTCTTTGGTCCCTGGCAATCAGCAAATGCTACAAATCAGGGCTTTTGTCTGCTAAAAAGCTGGTGGTTGAACATTCATCACCCTGGGTCCCCCCTTTCTTTCCCGGTACATCTAAACTGGGAGTTTCAGTGAAGCCAGTAAGTGCGCTCTGACCTTTCCGGAGCAGTGCTGGGGCAGGAAATTTCCATTTGTCACCAGTGACTGGTTGAGAGCAGGGAGTTTAGGGAGTACTGGTGGGTGAGCATTTCCATTTGGAGTTCCTATGGGAATGGGCTGCAGGGTCAGCAACCCTAAATCATAGCATTTTGCAAATACAGACGTTCCCTTCCCTGTCTGCAAAGCATGACCCTCACTCAGAAGCCTAAACCATTGTTTGCTTCCCAGGAACCAAAGGCTGGTGCGGAATAGTAATAATCACCTGCCAGGAGCCCTATTGACCAGGGGGACTGCCTGCTGCCTGTAACTCCTGGTAACAGGAGAGCCCTTCGAGAGAGATCCGTCTCTGTGCTGGCTCCACAATGAGACGGTGGGGCATTTCTCTCTCTCAAAGCGTTTTTACTGGGTCTCTAAGACAGTAGCTGCCAGAGCTGAAGCCAAGGCTGGCAACATGAACCACAAGCGGCCCGAGTTTATTTGGCCAACTCGGAATCTAGCTGTGTGCACACGGGGCTTGTTTTTATAGCCGCTGTAAAAATTCTCCTTACACTTGCTACTTCACTTTCCCCTGCAGCCCAGAGCCCCCTCTCCTCCCCCTCGGTACCCAGCTCAGCCATTACCAGCCACTTAGCCTCCAGTGTTCAGGGCCCCTTTTAAAGCACTATTAGATGTCTGGATGGTTTATGGATCTCTGGGCTTCTAACTCCACGGACCGCATCACTCTAAAAGCTGGGCCGTCAGATACAGTTGCAAGGGGAGCGTCAGGGGTGGGGGGCGGTGCGTGAGTTTACTATTTAATGTGTGCCTGTATTACCCTAAATGGATGGAAATGCTATATTGGCAATTTTTGCTTCTTTATAGGTTTCTGATTTTTAAAAAAATCAATTAGCGTATTTTTACTTATATTAACTCAGTCTCAGGATCTTCGGTTTTTGGAATCACCACTACTCTAATGGCCAATTAAACTTGCTCAAGCCTCCATCCCATGTACCTTCCCAGGATTTATGAGGGATCCCAAGATGCTTTGCATTCTCCTGGTTACCTCACCTCAAATTTCTGACCCTCTGGAATCCTGATCTTCCCTTGTCACCTGTCCTTCGAGTAATGATTTTACGTCCTTTATTACTTTTCTAAGCTCCACTGTCATAAGGTCCTATCCATAGCAGACTTTTTCCCTAAAGATTTGGGGGTAGCTAAAGGGTCTGTAGGATATTACTGAGCAGGAATCAAGCAGAATTTTAGGCCCCTGGGATCTTTTTTTTAAAGATCTTATTTATTTATTTATTCGACAGAGAGAGAGATCACAAGTAGGCAGAGAGGCAGGCGGGGGGGAGGGGGAAGCAGGCTCCCTACTGAGCAGAGAGCCCGATGCGGGGCTCGATCCCAGGACCCTGAGACCTTGACCTGAGCCAAAGGCAGAGGCTTAACCCACTGAGTCACCCAGGCACCCCAGGCCCCTGGGATCTTAAAGACCTGGACCATACCCACCATAGGGCTGTCCCCCTGGACAGTCCCTTCATTGGACCCCAACACCCGCCATTCCTTGGAGCTACTCTCTCTTACTATCCCCTTTCTAGGTCTTTCTCCCATTCCAGGGCCTTGGAAACTCTCTCTACCTGGTTGCCAGGACAAAATGGGCGATCTTCTCAGAGTAATCTAGCCTTCTTTGGTTTCGACGTTCTTCCATTTAGACAATCCTGTTTAGAACCAAAGAACCCTTTGTGGAATGCCCTAATCAATAGAGCCATCCAACCTGGCCAGCCTTCCTAGGTTTACACACCTAACAACACAAAGAACAGGGAGTTGTTTTGAGATGTTTGGTTTTTTGAAAAATTTACCCAAAAAGTACCTGAAAACATCCTTGCTGTAAAGAATTCAAACCACACAAGACCACGCTTCCCACTCCCTCCAGCAAGTCTCCTCCTGGGGAGAGGGCCCCTGCTGTTCCAGCTGTTGCCTTCCAGGACATTCTCAGTGTGTTTATGTGCATATGGAAATATATGTGGTTCTCACTCTTGTGCAAAATTTAGAAGTTCATTATGTATGTGTTGTTCTACAAGTTACTGTTTTTATTGATAACAACCCATCTTTTAGCTGTGTTTATGTCAGCTCGCTCAGAAACAGGAACGTTCCTTTAGGAAACCACCTACATGTCCATCAGTAGGGAGGTAAATGCTTTGTAAGCATCTAGAACCTCTCTGCAGAAGGGAGTCACCCTACCGCCGGCAGATAGGACTGAAGGGAGGCGGAAGAGAGGGTGTCACAACCCTCTGCCCCATGCTAGATTTCAGTGCTGAGCCCCAGAGTCCTTCCTCAGATGCAGACATGGCCCCTCTGGCTTGGTTCTGGAGGGAAGTACAGAACCACCTCTTTCTTCTTCACAGACCTTGACACAAGCCCAGGTGCCCTATGGATTTAAGAGTTTCCTGCTGTTCACTGTGGAGACCCAGACCTGAGACTGAAACTCCCAGTTTGGACAAAGTCTCATGGTCCCTGGTCAGCAGTTCCTGACTCCCTCTGGGATGCTAACTCCTGGGAGAGGGTTGCCCCAAGGCTAACTACAGAGTTTCAGTTGTGATCAGGCCCTGCGGTCAACACAAAGGATCAAGTGGGCACTTTGCATCCCTGAGGCCCACAGGACTGAGCCATCCTGGGTGCCCCAGCCCAGCCGTACCCAGCCTGGAATGACTAGCTCAGGGATGTTTTCTCAGGGCTCGCTGAGCTGCTGTCTGTGGGCTGGGCTTTGTGCTGAATGTGAATCCTGGCATGATGCCGGGCAGGAGGAAGCAGGAGCAGCGGCCCAGTGTGTGACTGGGCCAGGCTAGGGGGCCTGTGTTTGTGGAGTGTGGAAATCCCAGAGCTTGTGCCTGACCCAGGGAGGACTCTTCAACGTTCTCCCTTGGGTTTGGGGACCAACTGTGAGAACATCTATTAAGAGCAGCACTCGGGGGATGGGTGGGGAACGGACCTCCCAGAACTGGTCACCTTCGGTGATATACATACTCCCAACCCGGAGCTAGACCCAAGTGATTGTGAAGTAGAGCCCACAAGAGTGCTGGAAAGGAGGACCAAAGGTCAGGACTGAAGATGAGTGGTAGTGATCTAGCTTCTCTGGGAAGCCTCCTTCATACCCTTCCCCTTGTAGCCCCAGCCCTCCTGGACACTCGGTTCCTCTATCCCTGCACTTAGCACACTGAATTATGACTGGGTGAAGACAGTTTGCCAGGTAGTGACTTCCTTCATCACTTGGCTGCCGTGACAAGAGGGTAGAGGCCTGTGGCTCTGTGCCAAGGCCACGCTGCTCTCTCTGCAAGGACGGCATGCCAGGGGGCCCATGGGGCGAGGACAGCTGACAGAAACACAGGTGCTAACCCTAATGCCCAGTGCAGGCCTGGCTCCAGAAAGGGAAGTAAACTCACCTGCAGGTTATCAGTGGAATCGATGTCTGCAGCTGAGGGAGCTGGGGTCGGCAGCCACGTAGGATCAAAACCATACCCCTTTGCCTTCCTCTTCTACTCCACTGCCTGGCAACAGACTCAGACATCTGATTGTTCTTGCTTTATGCCTAGCACCTGACCTCTCAAGACTAGCTCTGTGTTATCTTGACGCTATATACATGTTATCATGGAGGTCCCAAGCCTATAAACTTTGCTTTCTCAGAAAGACCTTTCCTCATCAATGTAAAAAACACTTAGCTCACCTCCTAGCTACTCTGTATTACATTAACCTGTATCTATCTACCTACCTATCTTTCTTTCTTTCCTTCCTTCCTTCCTCCCTCCCTCCCTTTCTTTCTTTCTTTCTCTCTCTCTCTTTCTTTCTTTCTTTCCTTCTTTCTATGTTACTTAGAACCACCTGAAATGATTGATTGATACGTTCAGTGTGTTCCTCCCTAACTAGGAGACAAACCCCACCGGTAAGGAGTTTGCCTGTCTTATCCCGTCTGGTAACCCCAGAACCTGGTACATACTATGTGGGTGAGAAAGTGGGGAATGGACATGGAGGAGTAGGGACAACAGATTAACGTCCGCCCCAATATCCAGGAGCAGGAATCAACCCTCACCAGTGAGTTCTGGTCGGATCTGGACCAGGACCTCCCACCAAGGCCTTGTTTAAGAATACTATCCACTCTGTGGGTGCCTGGCTGGCTCAGTGGGTTAAGCCTCTGCCTTCGGCTCAAGTCATGATCTCAGGGTCCTGGGATCGAGCCCCGCGTCGGACTCTCTGCTCAGCGGGGAGCCTGCTTCCTCCTCTCTCTCTGCCTGCCTCTCTGCCTGCTTGTGATCTGTCTGTCAAATAAATTAATAAAATCTTTTAAAAAAAAAAGTGCTATCCCCTCATCTACCCCAACTACAGTTACACATACTAACCCAAGGGGAGAGGAAAAGTTGGGGAAAGGAGGATGGGCTGTTGGGGAGATTTGGAACCTGTGCTATTTTTCATATGCCCACAACAAACACAAAAATTCAGACACTTCCTTCATGATGGTCCTGTTCTCCCTTTAACCAGCCTTAGCTTCAGCGACATCAGCCTCAGCCCCAACTGGAAGCTGAAGAACCCCACGTTGGCCTGGCCTAGCTGGTGAGTTCCTGAATTCTCTGATGGAGGCAGCTGGGTGGGGGAACCGGTGTAATTTCCTGCAGAACCCGGGGAGTTTGGTTTTTTTATTTCATGGCAATTTTTTTTTTTTTTTCATTCCCACCTTCTTGAGGTCATTCCTTTCAGGTTGTAAGGTGCCCAGCAGGGGTAGCCTGGAAGACACAGGACGGGCCCAGGAATGCAAACACCCTGGGCTAACAGAGGTGGGTTTCTTCTTCTTTTCTGATTTTACCTGGCCTTCCTTTCCAGGGACAGGCCCCTCCATGGGTCCTTGGGGGGGCTGTTCTACAAAGAACGAAGTTCTGTTTCTGTTTCTAATTGAAGGCTGGCATGCAACCCAAAAGCAGGAGATATTAATCACCACAAATGGATGTAGACTGCCCCTCTGAGCTTTGTAAATTCCACACCACCTCTTGCTCACTGCCGTGGGCCTCGATTTACAGCGTGCCCTGCCAGAAACTAAAACCTTTCATCAGCGGAGGAGTGGGGCCTGGCCGCTGCCCTGTTTGGGCTACAGAACTGAGGTGGAAAAGTGTTATTTGGGGGTGTTGCTAAGAACCAGGGCTGCGATTTGAGCAGCAAACTCAATTATACTCACCTTTTCGCTTCTGGGAGACAAGAAATAACATTTAAGCCATAATTTATCCTGTTGCTATTTTATTTATTTATTTATTTATTTGGGTCAAGAGAGGTGATTTAAGTTAAATTCATTCAGTCAGTGGACTTTGGGACGAAGAAAAATAAACTTTCTGTTACCAGAGGGATTTCGTATGCAAACCCACACAGATGAACACGTGTGTGATGCACACACACACACACATACACACACACACACACACACACACACACACACAACAGGTCAAACAGGCATACATAGCTAGTCATTCAGGATGAAAACCCACTCTGTAAGCTGCCAGAGGAAGTTATTTAAAATAATGGGAACAATTTAAATATAAATCTTCAAACATTTTCCCACCAGATAAAAATCAAAGCATAACAAAGTGGTACTATATGTGGCCAGAATGTCTAGAAATTTCGCCTTTAGCTCCAAAGGTTGTTTATGAGGATCTGCTAGAGGCCAGGTCCTGTGTAGGCACTGTTTTTACTGAGAGTGAAGAATATGGACTCAGATTAGCTCAGCTTACATCCTGGGGTCAAGACAAGGGAATGTACTGGAAATTACAGGAGAGGTTTGCAGTTGGAGGCAAGTGAACTAAGGAGAAGCGTATAGGGAGAATGGCCAGAAGTTGCTTGAACCACTAGAGAGAGGGAGAAAAAATGGATGCCAACGAGGTAGCACCCACTGGTGAGAAAAAATTACAACATTCAAAAACAATCACTTTTTGAATGAATGAATGAATGAATGAACAAAGAGCCAAATGCTAAGGTGAGAGGATGGGACATCCAGCTAGTGGCCAGGCCACTTTCTGAGACAAGGCAGGACCACCAGCTCACAAACATGACGTCTCAGAAAGATTCCATGCAGACCTGTGATTCTAAGACATTTCTCTAACTACTCATGTTCCTCCATTAAGAGAAAGACAGAACATTGGGGTAGGCAGGATGAAATATCGAAACCTCAAGCTTTGGAGTGTTTTGGCTGGAGGAATCCCGTGAGTAAGCAGAAAGTCACAGCTGAGCAGCTACAGGTCATGTCATGTGTACACGAGAGAAACAATGTTCCTGAAAAGCGGAAGTGTGGTCAGTTGGCTCTGGCAAGGTCTAGTCAGAGGAATTCATTTCTTGCATCCAATACGTGCTTTAGGCTTGAGTTATGTGGAGAGCCTTATGCAATCTGATGACTTAGCTTATCCCCATCTGAAGGAGACAGCCTGATGTTGGAGGGTTTTGTGACTGGGTATGGGTTTTGTGACTGGGTATTCTCCAGATCTTTTTCTTCTGTGTTTTATGCTCATCGGGAGTTGGCCAACCATGGATGCAGTATCCGTTTCCTTCGGCTGCTGTAACAAATTACCACCAACGTGGTGACTTAAAACAACAGAAATGTATTCTCTCACAGTTCTGGAGGTGGGAAGTCTAAAGTTGAGGTGTCCCAGGACCACAGTCCCTGCGGAAGCTCTAGGAGAGAATCCATCCCTTGTCTCTTACAGCTTCTGGCAGCTGCCCGGCCATCCGAAGCCATCTTTGGCGCTCCTGGGCTTGTAGCCATGTCACTCCAAGCCCTCCGACTACCCATCACCTTCTTCTCTGTCTCTCTCTTCACGGGGTCCGTTAGAAGGACCCTTGTCATTGGACTTAGGGTTCAGTCAGACAATCCAGGGTGATCGCCTCATCTCAAGATTTTTAATAACATCTGCAAAGACTTTTTTTTTTCCCCCAAATCAGGTCACATTTGCCGGTTCTGGGGATTAGGAAGGACACAGACACACCTGGAGGCCACCACTCAGGCCACTACGTACACCATCTACGTGGTATGCCCACCTACATGCACGTCCCTGGTTCTGGCAAACCTTTAAAAGAGGTTGACTTCGAGGAGATTCTTCAAGAACGTGGAGGGAACACGATGCAGCAAAGGTCCTTGTGAGATGGAAGGAGAATGCTGGCTCCAAATTGGAACAGCAAGACAGGGGCCACACTTTAAAGTGCAATTTGGCTTTTTGCTCAGGCTTCCCCTGTGACTCTTCTAACCCTTCCAGTGTCTGTCTGCTAAAAATCAGAACTATCTCAGCTAAATTGAAATACACAGTCACTTGACCATGAAAACCCTTTCAACTCCGCCTGAGCAAACCATCCTCCTCTCCCCTCACACCCCCACTCCTGTGCTGTAGAGTCAAGGATCCAGAAGCTTGTATGTTTTTAAAATGTCAGAACCTTCCTTTTTCTCCAGAAGAGGTGGGTAGCGGGGGGGGGGGTTGTGAGTGAAGACACTTCACGCTGCATTAGGCATTGTACACTAAAGAGAAGCTGATAGAAGAATTAATTACAGTTTAACAATAATAATAAAAAGCAAAACAAGAGATTGAAACAAAATAGCCAAGGGAACAAATGCGTTTCCCAGAAGAATGGTGCCTATTCACCATGGAAAATTTATATGTAGAGTAAATGCTGGGAATTGGAACACAGAAGAGGCCATCAAAGGCCTGAGGAGGCTCCAGCAAGCTGGGGCTGCTTTTCATTGAATTGTCTCATTAGCTGGCTGGAGGTATAAATAAATTCCTCCAGTGTCTTTGTTGTCTGACAAGATGGAAAGCAGAATGAGTCTGGGGGGGCAGGGGGTGGGGGATTTGGGGAAAGGGAGGGTGACCCTGACGGCCCTTGGAGTCCAGGGAAGGTCTGGGAAGGAGTCTGCAGAGGGGAAGAAGAAGCGGGGATAAGGGTGTCTGCTTCTATTCATGGCAGAGGCAACCGGCTGTGGGCTGAGCGCGCGAGGGCCTGGAGGGGCCCGGATTCCCGGAGTGCAGAAGCTTTGTTCTGAGGCCAGATGCATGGTTTTATCAGAGCAAACCCCACTTTACATCCCCACAGCTCACACTGGGAGCAACGCTCTGGAGCCACAAAGCCTTCCTCAGGGTGCACTCAGCCTTCAATCACCGCGCCCCCCACGGACTGCGACGCTGTGACCGTTTGCAGGGGGTGTCACAAGAAACTTGTTGCGATGAATGGAAGCGCCAGCATTTGTGAATAATTCATGTTTTAGAATGGAAGAGGCTTCTGGCCGTCGTGGTAACATGGTTGCTTTCTTACCCTTCATTGAGATAGAATCCAAGGGTTTTTACTATATTCCCCGAGTTGAGCAACTATTACCACGATGGATTTTGAACACCTCCAACGCCCCAAAATGAAACCCCGTGCCAGCTAGCGGTCAGCCTCCATTTCCCCCATACTCCCTAGCTGGAGGCAGCCACGAATCTCTTTTCTGTCTCTATAGACTTGCCTATTCTGGATATTTCATAGAAACGGAATCATATTCTATTTTCCTTTTGTCTGGCTCATTTCACTCAGCATGAGGTCTTCAACGTTCCTCCACGTTGTAGAATGAGTTAGCATTTCCTTCCTTTTTAAGGTTAAATATTACTCCCGTGTATGTATATACAACGTTTTGTTTATCCATTCATCTGCTAATGGGCGATTGGGTAGTTTGCACCTTTTAGCTATTAGGAGTAATAATGCTATAAGGATTCATGTATAGGTTTTTGTGCAGCTGTGTTTTCATCTCTCTTGGGTATATAACCGGGAAGCAGAACTGCTGGGTCATACAGTAACTCTATGTTTGGCTTGGTCTTCCAAAGTGGCGGACGCATAATTTTTGGAGTTCTCATTCCTTCCATAAAAGCAAAGAGATAGCAAGCAGAAAGCTCACAGACATCAGTAACAGTGGTTCTGGAAATGGGATCTCCAAACCAGAAGTGTCCATACCACCTGAGAACGTGCTGGACATGCAGATCTCAGGGCCCACACTAGACTTCTGCACCTGTGCCTTAAGAAACCCTCCAGGTGACTCTTGTGATTCCAATTCTGAAGTTTGAGAACCACTGATCTAGTAAAGCTAGATGATGAGCGACCACAACAGACTCCAAAGTATGAGCAGGTGGGTACAAGCTATAAGGCCAAATGATTTTGGCAAATCATGAGAGGAAGGGGAGAAGAGTGAATGGACTCCAGTAGCTCTGAGAGCCAAAAAACCCACAAATTGGCTTTGGGAATCTTGGGAGCCCAACCCCAGAACACCAAAGGTTGGAGGGAGTTTCATAGGCTCCCATTTGCCTGGGAGGGCAACGGGATTCCAGGAAGCAGAAAGAGCTGGGATGCTCTGGGCTTTCAGAATAGTTTTAAACTAACCAAACTTTGTTGTAGGGTAGAGTTCTGTGCTGAAACATACCTTCTGGGAGCAAAATTTAAATTGAGCATCACATGGACCAAGAAAAGAGAAAGAGAGAGAGAGAGAGAAAGATTCAGATAAAGGTGAGAGAGAAGAGCAGTGATGACACTTGGAGACACGCACACATATTTAATCATTCTTTGAAAGTTGTGGGAGGAGAACTTCCAGGGTACTGAATCTAGGACAGTTATCCTAGCCTACCTTTCCCTCCTAAAAGTATAAACAATTCTCCTGATTATAGTGAGCAACAGCAAATTATCATGAGTAAATCCCATGCCAAGTCACTACACGAGAAAGGAAAATAAAGGGTAGAATACAGTCTCTGGAGATAATGAAGCCCTGCTGGGAAGGCAGCCCACAAAACAGATAAAACTTGTAACCTAATACATTAAATGAACTGAAATACATTAAGAAAAATTATGTTATAAAAGAGAAGCACTAATAAGATTAGATTCTAATAAGCTTGGAAAAATTGAGAATTGAGGTAATTGAGAAAAGAAGGATTGGAAAAAGAAGTGACAGAACTCAGAAAAGAATAAGAAAGAAGAAAGTATAGTTCAGTAAATGAAGATTAAAGTGGAAGAGGTGCATTCCAACTATCTACTGCTACATAATGATTTCCCTCCAAATTTCATGGAACAAAGCAACCATTGTACCAGGGTTGTGGGGCCCGGCCTTAGCTGGGATGACCTGAAGTGTTGTCTGCAGAGGCAGCTGGAAGTAGGAGGTCTACTTCCAAGGTGTTTTCTTCAGTTACATGTCTGGCGCTGGGGCTTGGATGGCCTCAGGTAGCTTCAGCTAGGCCTGGGGACTGGAGTACAGACAGATGGCCTATGGGCATAGCATTCCTAGGGTAGTCGGGCTTCACATACAGCAGCTCAAGTTACTAAGACTGAGAGTTCCAAAGACCAAGGCAGACCAACTTGGCTTTTTCTGACCTAGCCTTGGATGCCACAGAGTATCACTCCTGCGGCAGAAGTCAGAGCTGTCCTGGGCCCACCCAGATGTAAAGGGAAGGCACATAGATTCTATCTCTTGTTGGGAGGAGTGTCAAAGACTTGGGGTCTATTTTTCTCAGCTTTGTTAACGTATAATTTGCATAAAATTCATTCATTAAAATCATGCAGTTTCACAACTTAAGTAATTATATACAGTCTTGTAACCAGCAGCACAGTCAGGATCTAGAACAATCCCCTCTCCTGAAAGTGTTTCTTGTGTCTCTTTATGGTCACATTTTAAAACCACCCTAGAACCTAAATATGAAGGAACACTAGTTGCAAAGGATAAAAAATTTTTATTTTTAAATTTAAAAAATTTTTTAAAGATTTTATTTATTTATCTGACAGAGAGATAGAGAGAGATCACAAGTAGACAGAGCGGCAGGTAAAGGGAAAGGGAGAGAAGCAGGCTCTCCACTGAGCGGGAGCCCGATGTGGGCTCAATCCCAGGACACTGGGATCATGACCTGAGCTGAAGGCAGACGCTCCAAAAATTTTTAAATAAAGGAGAAAAGAAAGTGAAAAGTGATGCAAGAGAAAATGGTACATACACACATGCCACACACATGCATACATGTGCACTCATGCACACACACACGGAAAAGATGACCCAAAGCATGCAGAATAGAAACCCTGAAAATGAAAACCAAAGCAACGGAATAAAACAAATACAAAACCATTTAAACTAAATGTTCTTTTCTGAATAGAACCGACTTGAAACTTCACAGTGAAAGGTACATTTGTATCTGGGAAAAGCAACCTACAGCAGCCGATATTCTAGTAAAACTAGTGGACTTCAAAGAAAAAGGAAAAGAAATGCCAGAAAGACCAAGTCACTTATAAGGGAAAGAAAATCAGATTGCCTCCAGACTTTGGACACAACACTTTATGCCAGAGGACCCTGAAACCACATATTTACTCAAGGAAAGAAACTGTGGGGAGAGAATTTTCTAGCAGTCTGACTGTCAACTATAAAGGCACAGACGCTCTGTTATGAACACACAAAAAATTCAGGCGACATTGGTCCCATGAGTACTTCCTGAGGATTCTGCTAGAGAATGGGTTTCCAAAAACCGAAGTGACTAGAGAGATACCAGCATGAAGACTGGTGGTGAGCACTGAGGATATAGTTCCCTGCAGAATTCAGATGAAATTATGGTTCTCAGGAAGAAAGAATAGTATGAAGGCTTTACATTCTAACAATGGAAACAGAGTAACTCTGCCCGGGATGGGGTGGGGGGAGACGGGGAAAGCATATGAGAAGTTCAATAAGCTTGCAAATTGTCTTATGGATTTTAACTGAGAATAAAGGGATAGCACCTCAAATTAGATGCTGAGGAGGGAAGTTGCTAGATAATTTCAATATTGCTCATGGGGGAGGGGGAACCAATAGACAATAGCCTGGAAAAGAAGAGACTGAGAGGGTAAGTTTCAGAACTGGTTTAAAGGGAACAATTGTAGAACAAAAATACAAACTTGCAGAGCGCCTGGGTGGCTCAGTGGGTTAAAGCCTCTGCCTTCTGTTCAGGTCATGATCCCAGGGTCCTGGGATCGAGCTCCACATTGGGCTGTCCGCTCAGCAGGGAGCCTGCTTCCTCCTCTCTCTGCCGGCCTCTCTGCCTACTTGTGATCTCTGTCTGTCAAATAAATAAATAAATAAATAAATAAATAATAAGATCTTTAAAAAAAATATATACAAACTTGCCTAAATTCAGAAGACATACACTTCAATACAGAAGATACCAAGAATAAGCCATAAAGACAAATATTATATTTCTAAAAGACATACTTAAAATATAAAACAATATGAAAAGACTTGAGGCGAACAGATCAATAATGTAAACAGGTGTGAGGTAATTTTGTGGTTTTGATTTGCAAATCATATCAAAGTGATATTGAACACCTAGTTTTTCATGTACCTGTTGGCCCTCTGTATGCTTCCTTTGGAAAAATGTATATTCAGTTCTCCTGCCCATTTTTTTTAAAGATTTTATTTATTTCTTTGACAGACAGAGATCACAAAGTAGGCAGAGAGGCTGACAGAGAGCGGGGGAAAACAGGCTCCCTGCTGAGCTGAGAGCCCAATGTGGGGCTCGATCCCAGGACCCTGGTATCATGACCTGAACAGAAGGCAGAGGCTTTAACCCACTGAGCCACCCAGGAGCCCCCTGCCCATTTTTTAAAAAAGATTTGTTTATTTATTTGAGAGAGAGCGTGCATGCATGCAAGGGGAAGGGGCAGAGGGAGGGACAGAGGGAGAGGGAGAATCTCAGGCAGACCGCCCACCAAGTGAGGAGCTGGGACTCAGGCCTCGACCCCACGACCCATGAGATCATCATCTGGGCCGAAGTCACAAGTCACACACTCAACTGACTGAGCCACCCAGGCACCCTTCTGCCCATTTTTAAATCAGATTTTTTTGTTGCTATCGGGTTATATGACTACTTCATTTGGGGGAATATTAACCATTTACTGGATATATGATTTGCAAATATCTTCTCCCATTCTATAGGTCACCCTTTCATTTTGTTGCTGGTTTCCTTTGCTGTGCAGAAGCCTTTTAATTTGATACAGGCTCATTCACTCTACTTTTATTTATGTTTGAAATCGTTCGTAAAAAAAAGTAAATATGTACATATGTGTGTAAAAAAACAAAATAGAAGATTCTCCATAATGGCATTCAGATCTGTTTTCTCGGGCATAAAAGGAAGTGTCCCCAAGATTATGCATGACACACAGCTATGCCATACATGTGACTACCATCTGTTGTGTGTGAGAGATCTCTGTTCCTTTGCCATCTGACTTTCTTCCCCACATGCACTATGTTGCAGACTTATTTCCATTTCCACGCATAGAGATCTACCTCACAATTTTAATGGCTACATAGCCTTCCACTGTATGAATGTGTCATAATTATTTTAATTACTCCCCTATTGATTGATGTTTGGGTCGTTTCCAAATGTTCATTAATTAAACAACGGTTGTGATGAACATTCTTCCTCATACATCCTTTCACATCGTGTGGTTATTTCCTTAGGATAAGTTCCAAGAAGTGGAACTGCTGGGTTAAACAGTCATTAGAGATTTGAAAAGCAAGATCTTTGAAAAGATGGGGCCCACTGCACCAGACCTGGCCTGGCGCCAAGGAGTCCTGTGGTTTGCTCTAAGCCCCAGGAATCTGGTTCTGTGGCCACAGGATGCTGAGCTCCCTCACTCTGGGCAGAAAATATTCCCCGCTCCAGATTCTGACTCAGGAGGTCTACAGTGGAGTCCAGGAACGTGAATTTTTTTTTAAGTTTATTTATTTATTTATTTGACAGAGAGATCGCAAGTAGGCAGAGAGGCAGGCAGAGAGAGAGGAGGAAGCAGGCTCCCCGCCGAGCAGAGAGCCCGATGCAGGGCTGAATCCCAGGACCCTGGGATCATGACCTGAGCCGAAGGCAGAGCCTTTAACCTACTGAGCCACCCACGCGCCCCAGGAACACGAATTTTTAAGTAAACTTCTGGCCTGATGTTGCTGTAGGTGGTCAAAAATCACACTGGTAAATAAACATTTATCAGCCCTGTCTGCTCACCAGCATTTCCTGAGAAGCTCTGAAAAATACTCAGGCCTGGGTGTAATCCTGGGAAATGTCCTTTTCTGTGGATCTGAGTTCCAGCCGGTGTGTCGCGGTACTGACTACGTGGACACAAACACGGGATCATATTATAACATAAGCTGAGATTGTCCTTTGCACTGCTCTGTCTGTGCTCGCCTCCTTCCTTGTGCCCTCCCTCCAGTTTCACCTCACTCCCTTCCCAAGCAACCTGTGTTCATGACCTAGTTGGTAAACGTCATTGTTCACCTGGTTCTCTCCATGCAAATGTAACATATACAAAATACTCTGCCTTATATATGCCTATCAGCCAGGGTTCCTCGTTAGCAAACAGAAGAAACCAGCTCTGGCTGGTAGAAGCAGAAAGGAAGTCTCTGACAGACACACTGAGTCATTCACAGATCCTCTGTGTGGGTTGGAAAAACAGCCTGAAGTTTGTCCACTCAAGGGCACGGTCTTCAAATCACATGCAGGGCATGGACCCAGGGGAGGCAAACCCTTCTCTGCCCACAGCGGAAAGTGTCACGTGGGACATCAACCTTCTTGGGAGGGTAAGTGGATATTAGTTAGGTTTTCTTCATGTCACATTCACAGCTGGTTTTAGATCTGATTGTGTTCTGAATCTTGATTTAACCCTTGCCAGTCTCCCTTGAATGTGCTATAATTGTCTGCTCCCATTTTTACTTCTGTCTCTCAATTCCTCATGTTGTGCTCAAGCTGGGATCCTGGGCTATTTAAGGTCTGAGTTCTGAGAATGACTGGGGGGCCAATATTTACCAACTCCGTGTGGCATGTACCTACCATGGCTCTAACAAGAGACTGGCATGCTTTATAGGGTGCTAGAGGGTACCAGAGCCTTGTGTGCTGGGAAGAGCAGTTCGGCTTATCAGGAACTACCTGGTCTGGGAAGAATGAATCAGGCTTGAAGAATGGACCAGAGCGCACCTTGGCTCCAAAGTCTTAACAGCCATGGCACTGGCCACCGTCCTCTGAAATTACTGCTTTGAGGCATTCAAGGATCCATGGATTTTAGATCTCCATTCTGCTAGCTGGCCTTCCTTATTCTAGCAATAATATAGGTCATGGACATTGACCTGCACACTTTTGGTCTTTCCGAATCAGAGGGGCGGAGAGGTGGGCCGAAAGGGAACAGATTTCAGGCAACAACAATCAGAAGGAGAAAATCCTGGTAGAAAAAGGCATCTCACATTTTGGGGCTCACCTAAGGAGTCATCTAGGATCATTCTTTGCAGAGGGTGAAAAGGAGAGTATTTCCATGAAAAGAATATTAACGAAAAAGTCCAAGTTCCTTATATTGTGTTCAGGAACACAGAAGCATTGTGCTGGGTCCTCCAGGAAGCAAGCAGCAATAAAGTTAGAATTATAAGAGATTCTTGGAAGGATGCCTATGAAGAACGAAGGGAGAGGGGGAGCAGGAGGAGGCAGGAAAGACTTCAGATTGCCAAGCAGGTATGTCATCTGTGGAATGAAGAGGGGAGGAGGAAGGAGCAGGTGGGAAGAGCCCCAGCCTGCAGGCCAGCTTTGAGAAAGCTGTCAGCCCAGTGGGGGAGTTCCAGCAACAGGAATGCCCAAGAGGACTTCTACATGGGACAGAAAGGGCAGGAATCCATACCCCCTCTATGCTTAGTCATTGCGGTGTGCTTCCCTGGGGAAGAGCACCAGCTTGGGGCACGTACAGCTGTGAATCCTCTCGGCCCTGCAGTCACCGGCAGCTGGCTTCCTGCACTCCTCATGGGGATATCAAGTTCTTTCTTGAAGGGAGATCTAAGTGGCACACCTCCCTGGCTTCCACAACAGGTTTTAGCCCCATATCCATCAGTGAGGATTATAATTTTTTAATTAAAGCAATGCACATATATCATAGTCTCTTTAGACACCCAGAAAAATATAGATAGAAAAGGAAATTGTTGTTGTCCTACTTTATGTTGATTTCCTAGATGTAATGTAGAAAAATATATTATTTAAAATCTATAGTAAATATATAATTCATATGAATACATATTAAAAATAAGATCTTACTCTACAAACTGCTTTAAACCTTTTTCCACTAAAATTACCTTATGAACATATTCATTTTCTCTTTTGACTTACACAAGTCTATATATTTTCTAACGACAGATACGATGCCTTTGTATGGATGTGCCATAATCTTGTTTGAGCCATTTCCTGTGGATCGGTGCTCCGGATGTTTCAAGTTCTTTGTCACATAGACAGCACAGCAGTGACAATGCTGGTACACGTGTTCTGTTCTTGGAGGCCTCCAGGGACTCCAGCCTGCCTCGCTGACTCTCTCAGATGCTGCATCGTCTTGACAGTTAGGATGTAGTCTCACACTGGAGTCCCCCTGAAATGTTGCCAAGGAAGCAAGAGTGCAAACAGAAGGACTCCAAGAGAAAGGCAACTGTGCCAGGTGGCTCTTTGGGCCCCAGTGGGACCAAGAGCTGGGTCCAGCAGCATGGCTCCAAGAAACCAGATTCCTTTCCTTCTGGTGCATCCCTGCCAGGGATCATGGCCCTATCAGGCTGTTTATTTTGTTTCGTTGTCTTGTTTTCCATCCACCTGCTGCTTTCAGAGACTTAGTCCCCCCATTCTAGTGAGGAGAATTAAGGGAAGAAAATCCTAAGAGATGGCAGAGTTACATTCTTGTAAGAGTGGCTTACCCCAGCCTTCACCTGGGAACACCCTCTATCTACGCCCAGCATGAAACATCACAGCGATCTTTGGTTTCCATGGTGATTTGCAAGGCTAGCTCCCATGAGCAGCCCCAAAGATGGGAGTTCTGCCCCTCAAACCTCTCAGGCACGAGTCCAGGACCCAGCCAAGGCACCAGCAAAGAGACTGGCAGTGGGGTGCCCCTGAAGTCAGGAGATGAGAAGCCAAAGGGAGCTAGAAAGAGGACACAAAGCGGACTCTGGTGCTTGTTGTCTTCATACCAATGGACTGAACTTGTGTATCAGGTGCCACTCTATTGCACTTATGATTTCTGTCTCAGTCATTTCAGGAAGCTTCCCCTCCCCTTCTCCCTGATGTTGGAACTAAGTGCTTGGGCTTATGTAGTGTCTAGCGGGAGAGTTCTTCCCAGTTTGCAGGTTTTGTTGTACGTCCAGCCAACATCTGCGGAACTGAGCATCACCCCCGCTGACCCCACACAGATGTCCGCCAAGACTCGTACATTCCCCATCTGCCGTGCCAGCCATGTCCACGCTGGTCACTCCGTATTCTTCTCCGCCTGCTTTCCTGGGTTCTCTAAGTATTCTGCTTTAAATATGGACTGCTTTTGAAATTAGGAGGGGACAGATTATTAACTGTGGTCATTTAAATGTATCTTTACTGTATCGCTACAGTATATTGCTACAGTATATTGCTCTATGTTGCTTTTCTATCTTCAAAGTGTGATTCTGGGCTGGGAAATAAACAGGGTTTAGAACCAGCTCTGGGTAAAGGTCACCAATTGAAAACAAAACTGGGACAATTCAACCTTTAATCTATGCAAAGCAAGGCCGCCTGAAGATCTGTTTATCAGCTTGTTGCTGGGGACTCTTGGGCGACAGTCTGGCTTCATGGGGGAGCCCTGGACTTATTTGCAGGAAGGTGTGACCAGAAGGTGACTGGGAGCACAAAGCTGCCCCACCCTGTGGCTTTAGAGCCCCCTGGCAGAAACAGGGCTGTGTTCTAGGGCAATGAACCAAATACAGGCTGGATCACAAGAGCGTGCCCCCTTCCGGGAGAACCCTGACTACCAATATGCAAATATATATCTCTCCTTCCACTCCCTCCAAATGCAGATTTGGTAAAACACTTTTGCTTTATGTCTCTGACATTGTCCAGAAGAGAGTACAACCTGACCAGCTGGCATAAATGTTCTGGTTCCGTTGGTTGGCCCTGAGGTGGAAATGGGTCTTTAACTGATGGAGTGTGATAACACTGTCCATTAAGATAAGCCCATCTGCTACAGACCTTTCTAGAAAGCAGATGGTAATTTGTATCAAGAGCCTTTAAAAGGTCCATACCCTTTGATCTAACAACTCCTTTTCCCATAACTGTCAGAAACTCAAACATAGATTTATGCACGATGGTGCACATTATGGTGTTACGCAAAGTGATAACAAATGGAAACAATCTTAATGTTCCACAATAAGGGAAGGAGGTCAAGTAAGTCACGTGTACCCATACCTTGGCCTAATAGGAAGCCATTAAAAATGATTTTCAAAGAATTTTATGGGGAATGGGAAATGTTCATGTAGAGCAAGTTTAAGAATTAGGATTCAGAGCTGAGGATACAGAATTATTTTAATTTTATAAAACTATTCCATGCATATTCCTAAGTAAAATATGACAAAAACATATATCAAGTTTTTAGGCATTCATAACTGGTGATTTCCAGTTTCTTCTTTGTATCCTCCACCAGAGACAACTTTTCTATTTGTTTGTTTGTTTATAAAAATATTTGAGGGGTGCCTGGGTGGCTCAGTGTGTTGAAGCCTCTGCTTTCGGCTCGGGTCATGATCCCAGGGTCCTGGAATTGAGCCCCACATTGGGCTCTCTGCTCGGCAGGGAGCCTGCGTCCCTTCCTCTCTCTCTGCCTGCCTCTCTGCCTACTTGTGATCTCTGTCTGTCAAATAAACAAAAAAATCTAAAAAAAAAATTTTGAATTTATTTGTTATTTTACTGAGTTCACCAATTTATCTTACGACAGCAATTTGGAACTCAAAGATGTCATAGGAAAAGCACATACCTGGCTAGCTGTGGACTTCAGGCAAGTTACCTGACTCTGTCCCTGAGTTCCCTCATCTATATAATGGGAATAAAAATATTTACCTCCCATGGCTAGTGTGATTACTTAACAAGATCATGACTATAAATGATGAGCATGTAGTAAATGTTCAATAAATGTTAGGTTCTTTCCCCTGCCCACTCCTACTTTAATTTTATCATTAGGAAGTAATAAAAAGAACATGAGTATTTAGATCTATGCACCATTATATTATTCATTATAAATTAATTGAATGGCCTGCTGGTTGTGGTTTTTAAAAGCATATGCTTCAAAAAGGAGGAAAATCCCTGTGTTTGGGGAAGATAATTTGTAACCAGCAGAGGCTTCAGAGAGAATGCAGACATTCTTAACTACTATTTTCATCTGTCTCCCTATCAGGAGGAAATGCCATCTAACCAGAATGGAGGAAGTTGAAGGTCAAGATTGGAGAGCACATAGTGGAAAGCTACTTTAACCAAATATGCGAATTGGACTCTGTCTCCTTTTGCCTGAGACTTGAAGATGAAAGTTACAATCCAAAGGGATCATTGTTCAAACATTGCACAGTGTCTCTGAACTGGTGGGATTTCTCCGGAACTTTTGAAAACCAACCACGGTGAGAGCACTGAGGGTTGAGAAGGGAGAGGATTAGGAAGGAAGAGGCTTTAAAAAATATATTTTATTTATTATTTGAGAGAGAGTGTATGTGTGTGCATGCACAGAGAGGAGCGGAGGGAGAGGGAGAGAATCTTAAGCAGACTCCCCACTGAGCACAGGGCTGGACTCAGGGCTCAATGTCAGGCCTCTGAGATCATGACCTGATCCAGAATCAAGAGTCAGTAGCCAAACCCACTGAGCCATCCAAGCACCCGTGGGGAGAAAGGGATCTTTGGAGGGAATGATTGCATGCTGTGGGCTACTTCAACTTCACTAAGAGACTCAGAGAGAGGGAGAGGCTTCAAAGGAGAGCAGATGGGGACGTGAAGCTGAGGAGGGGACACAGGAAATTAGAATTTGATTCCTGCCTCAAAAAAAAAAAAAACTACAGAATGAGAAGAATGAGAAACACTTGCCAGACCCAGAGAGTGAAGAGCCATTTTCAAAAATGGCAGCTAAGAACATACTTCCCTACTGTCCCACTCCAGAGGAGTCACAAGGCCCAGTCTGTAGCTGAGGTCCGGAGGAAAAAGTGAAAAAAAGAAGAACCCCAACACACTTTCACCAGCTGTAAGCTTTCTGCCTACAGTAGGCTCAGGCTGATTTGGAAGATTTAACTTTAAACAAAGCTTCAGTTCTGATCCTTATCTGGGTGTCAATTTCTAACACCTAAAGGAAGACTGTATTATGTGACTTAAGGTGATTATAGTATTTTATTTATCCTGAGTGATGAAAAAAGTGACAAGACTGATGAATTTCCATCCACAAACATCAAAAGGACATAAGACATGGCTCACTGAGTTAACTTTAAAGGAACGAACGGAGGTAAAATAAAGTTTTCCGGTTACTCGCCAGAAATTCACTTACACCGAATATACCACCATGCTTGCATTGTTACTGAGTTTAAGTCAGCTGGTCCAGACAGATGACCTCCCACGTGACCACATGGGTCACCTATACAATCTTTGAGACGTCCTAGAAAACCAGAGAGAGCAGCCAAAAGGATGATACTGGGAAATGTCCTGATTTTAAAATAGAGTGAGGGATGAAATTTAATATTTGATTAACGAGCACCCCAGTGCCAACCAAAATCTAGAAAGGATTATTAAATAGATGCTTTTCTGAGTATTTTAAAAAGAAAGTGATGTTTGCCAGGCACTAGTGCGGACTCAATGAGTCTAATTTCATTTCTTTTTCATGTGAATTATTAGGTTAGTGGCAGGGGGAGGCAGGGTGTCATAGACTTGGTGTCTTATCTCTGTGAGGCCCTTTACTAAGTCCCTCATGAATCTTTTGTGCAAAGGTGGAAATGTGCCAGTGGGGATGAGGAGGTAGATTTATAGTTGGTCGGACAGTTGTTCTCAAGGAGTATAGATTAATAAATCCCTGTCCCACTGGAGGCAAGTGACAAGAGGCAATCCCGTGAGGGTTGTTCTGGTTCTGTCCAGGTTAATACTTCTTACTAATAACTTGGAAGATGACCTAGAAGCTATTATATCAAAAGTGTGGAATACACTAAGGCAAGTGAGACAGTGAACATATGCGAATGATGGTAAATTTCTTTAATTTGCGGTCCTATCTGCTGACGCATTTGGCAACGATGGTTGGAATATCTCAACCAGAACGAAGACGGCTGAGGGCTGATTCAAGCACAATGTTTTCACTCTCTCAGACAAATGCTAACTTGCACAACCCCCTGACATTGTAGTCCTCTGCGCCACCACTCTCAGGGGCAGCATCCTCCTTATTCTCCTCCTTCATTGTAATGACACCCCAGCTCCTCCCCACAGATGGGCCCCAACATCGCCAGGCAAAACCCACTGCCGCACTTGAGCTCCACAAAGACCTTCCCCAGCTTAGGCCCCTGCCCTGGCTCATCCAGCTTTTAATTCCCTGGGCGTCCTGCCAGCTCATGGCCCATTATCAGTCCTCCCAGAGCTCTATGAACAAGGCCGGGAATTCCTTCCCCTCCTTCCACCAAGCGTCTACTTGTTCCAACACCCTAATCCCATACATCCACGTGTATAAATAGATGTGTACTTCCTGCCAGTATGAAATCTCCCAGGGATAAATGTCAAATCTGTGTTGTTTAAAATTCAGTTACGCCAAGATGGAATGGGGGAGACTTGTCTTGACAAGAGTCTACATTGAGCCTTTGGGCCAATGTGCTGAAGACCAATTTGCCTGAAGTCAATTTGGCTTGAAGTCCCAACTGTTGAAAATTTATATCTTAAGAGCCCATTTGTGGCTTTTAAGGATAAAATCACTACTCTATCTCTATAAAGCATTTTGAATGTTGGGTGATTCCTCCTATTTGACCTATTTTTTTTAATATTTTGTGAATTAGTAAGCAAACTCAAGAGACTTCTACTTTCATTTCACTTTACTATTGGTTATTTTTAAACTTAACAGTGTGTCACTTGGCAGATTCTAATAGAGTCCTCATCCTAGGTGTACACCCTAGAGAAACCAGTATATTTTTATACAGAAAGTCTTGTATAAAAATATGAACAAAAGAGTTCATACCAGTTTTATTCTTAATAGCCAAACACTGGAAAAAGCACAAAGGTCTATCAACAAGTGAATAAAAATATTTGATTATATGCAGGCAATGGATTACTCCTCAGGCATAGAAAGGCATTAAATACTGGTACATACCACAACATGAATGACTCTGTGAGTTGAAAAGAAAACAGGGAAGAAGAAAACAGGGAACACACAGGTATGATTCCATCTATATGAAGTTCAAGAACAGGCAAAAATTAAAATACGGTGAAAGAATATGAACAACTCTGATCTGGGACTGACTGGGAAGGTACATAAAGGATTTTTCTGGGGCAAAGAAATGTTCCATCTCTTGTTCTGGGATGTGGCCATATGCTCACAGTCACACGTACACAAAATGTCGCCAAGCTCCACTGTTAAGATTTGCGTGTTTTGCTATAAATAAACACCTCACTAAATTATTGTTGAAATTTTTCTATATTTCATATAAATCTCCACTCAAAAACACACCAAGTTTGAATATCTTTACCTCTGGTTTGCAGTTTAATTGAGTTTTACATACTTTTTGGGGCACCGTGTGAATTTTTAAGGACCATGAGCACGTACTCAGGTCGGTACCTATTCCGCGAGCTCACTCACTGAGTCTGCATCATAGAAGCGTGTCAACCTCCCAGCATATTTGACAGCGAATTCTCCTAACAACTAGTTGGTAAATTCACTCTGGGCAACGAATCTGAAACTCCTGCAGTGTCCTAAGTTCAGGCACTTGTAGATATTTGCACCTGGGACTGAGCCACAGACAATTTTTTCCAGACTTTCCTTAGTCTCGGTGCCCTTGCCCAAAACAGCTCTCACCCACCCAATCCTGTGCTGATCCTAGTGGATAGTTGGCAGGCTCAGCCCGTGTCCTGCTTCCATATTCCTGCTCATCTGGAGCAGCCCACTGGGCAGGCCTGACGTAACTATAATAACTTCCTTGGGGTTTCTAGAACAGTCTAGGGGCTGAACCCCTTGCACCATCTCTCAGGTTGACCTGATGGCTGCCTGGTGTGGTGTGATCAGGAAGCAGGCTCTCTGTGGCCCTCGAGCCGGCCAATTCAGGTCACCCAATGAGTCCGAGGATGAGAGCACCCTGCGTAAGCAGCTGCACGATGTCCAGTCATCCCTCCTTAACCCTTGTGTCAAATACACCCACAGGTGAGTATAATCAGAAGATGCCTCTGTGTATACTCACTTGGAGCTTTGTTAATACACGTATAGTGTTGCTATGGGCAATGCTTGGTAAACTCCCCAAACTAAGGCCTCAACCCCCAGCTCTGGCCATGTAACAGTTTTTCCTTCCTTAGGAGAAGGGGAGGTATCAATAGATTATGCTCATTGTTCTTGGGCAAGGAAGGCTGAGTCACCACACTCTTCTTTGTAAGATATCTCACTGGGACCTGTGAGGAGAATGAGTATTTTACACTAATCTGCTGGTTAGAGACCCTTTTGTTGAGGAATCCAGTTTGCTTGCTCTTTTGCTCTATAAAGATTAGGGAGAATCGGGTCTCTTTTGTGCCCCAAATAAGGCAAAAAGAAGTTGAAAACATATTGTGTCCTGGGCCATACTATCCATCCTAGAAAGAAGAATGAGAGAAATAAGGATTCTTCTCCTTTTTCTGGAAAAGTTGTTCTGCTCAGACAGAGGGTAGAAAGTGGTGCAGATAAAGCTTTTTTTTTTTAATTTTAATTTTTTGGTTTTATTATGTGTTTTATTTTATTAATTTAATTTAATTTAATTTTTGATGCTGCATTTGGTTGAGATTAAAGTACTTTGCCCAGTCTCTCAAAGCTCAGCTTGGTTCCAGGGAAGAAAGCCCCCAAGCCTGACAGTCCCTGAAGCAGATGTCCCTAGCATTCTAGCTAATAAACCCAGTAGATTCTTAATAGAAAGGTTTGAAGTACAATCTCCAGAGTCAGACCAACTGAGGGTTGGATCCTGGCAGCCATTTTGCCTCCTGAGGACCCAGTTTCTTCATCTGTACTCCAGAGTTAGGAACTACCTCCCCACATCATTAAGAGAGTGAAGTGAGAGAAGCCGGGCAAAGCACTTGGCTCAGAAGCCGTAGTGTTATTTATTGCCACTCGTGATAACACACAGGAGAAACTGCATCCTGTTTGGGGAGTTTGGAGATTTAAGAGGACATCTAAAGTGAGAAAAAGTCAGCAGTCCTCCTGCCAGGACATGGAGGGGTCTGGGCATCTTGAAACATGAGGAACAGTTGAGGAAACCGAAGGTACTTCAGCTGGAAGAGAACAAACTGTCGAATCTTTGCAGAGCTGCCTTGTACTCCTAGAGGGGCCCCAAAGCCACCTGACAGGCTTGGCCCTGCCCTGGATGGTGACTTTCAACTCTGTGTGAAATTCTGGTCTCTCCAAAGAGCCCTGCCCCGAAGGCAGGCGAGATTGGAAGGTAAAGGCCATGGCTCAGGGTTGGCAGCTGATGACATCCAGGGACCCTGGTTGGAGGACGCTGAGCAGACATAAGTAAGCCAGGCCTTCTGGCTGGGCCAGAAAGATCTGGAACTCAGAGCAGCCCCAGGAAGAGAGCGGGCAGTGGTTTATCCTAACTGGACCGCAGAGGCCTTTTGGACAGATCCCAGTGCTCTTCCTAGTACTTTGTCCACTTTTGGGAGAGGCCAACTCAGGTCACAGGAGCACCCCTCCTGGGTGGAGTGGATTTTGTTTCTTTGTGGTCTGGCCAGGAAACGCCAAGCCGGGTGGCCGAGAGGCTGGCCGCCTTAGCTGAAAGGCTGAGTGACTGGCCAACTGGTGTGTCTCCAGAGAGCAGACTGACCCGCCTGGACAGGCCAGTCCTCTGGACACCACCGCCACCGGCAGAGTGTCTCCCTCCAGCCAGCTGATTTTCTCATTGTGAGGCTTGGAAATGGCGTGATTTATGACCGTGCTCATCCACCGCTGGCCCCTGGGTAGACACGCGTTCCCTTCCAGGCTGGGAAGTGAATAATGAATTAATCACCCTGCCTCGGGTTCAATACGGAGCTGAGTGTTTGCAGATCTTCATTGTAGTGTGCAAGCCAACTTGAACTGCTCAATTTCCACTCGGAATTCATTTGAGTTTGTGCAATTCTGCCTGTTCCTGGGGAGCTGCCGCCTCTGGCTTCCTGGTCTCCGAGGAAGCCTCACTCCCACTCCCAGACCTCCTCTCCTCCTGAGATTGAAAGCCAAAGACTCCTGGGTGCTCAGAGAAGCCAAACCACTTCCTCAGAGACTGCTCACTGGAATGTCTCTTGTCCCAGATGGGGCTATTTTGGGCTTTTCTCAGCATCGAGAATCGAGAGCTGAACTGGCTTGTGCCAGCCCACGTGCATGGCACAGAGAAGGCACACAGGATTGTTTGTTGAATGAATGACCCTGGCTCTGCAGACACAGATGCTTTTATCAAAACGAAAGACGCAGATGTTTTATCAAAACCCACGGTTTCCCTTTTCCCTTGTTCTGGGGCTGTAGGGCTTCGGGGGAGAGCTTTGTATTTGGTCTCGGTCCGATGAGATCCTGAGCCATGAAGTGGGGCAAATTCTTTCTCAAGTTCACTGGGAAGCAATGGGAGGTAAAATCTGCATTGCGAGACTTGGAGCTTTCCCAGCTTTGGCCATTTTTCTTCACCTTCCAGAAACCAAGGCCGTAAGCAGCGGCCTTTTACCCAAAGCTTGAATACGAAAAGCAGTGGACTTCAGCGCTCTGGACGGGGAAGGCTGATGCAGGCTTCCTCATGATGGGCTCTGAGAAGGGGGCTCGTCCAGTCTGGGGGCGCATCCTCCCTGACCCAGGGCTGTTGAGATGCTGCCTCATCCATGTCACCTGCACACACCCGGCCCCACAGCCCAGAGAGACTGCCACACCTGAGCCTTCCTTCACGGAACTTTCATCCACACTGTGCCATTCAGAAGCCTTGCTTCCTGCCTCGCTGCTGGCTGGGATACTTTCTGACCTCTCTCCCCCTGTCCTGCCTCTAAAGCTGTCTTCCCATGAAACCTCTCCTGGCCTCTTTGCGTCCATGTGGCCTCTCTTTCCTTTTGGCCTCAGCCACATGTTGCTGGTCCTTCCTTTAGTCCCTCTCGGCCTTTGACCAATTTCCTCATCTCCTGGCTGACTGAGCATGGTTCCTTCATCCTCAGTCCAGAGGATGTTAAAGTCTAGGTAAAATGTGAGGACAAGAGAGAGCTGAGGGCAGTCCCCACACCCGCTATCGGGGACTTCCTCACAGACCAGCTACAACAGCTTTCTTTGCCCATTAAACAAAAACATTTCTAGAGTCCCGACTGCTCAGGCAACTACGAACGACTTTACCTCCTCTTGTTTTTCCCCTCCAGACTCCAACCACATCGACTTCCTGTAGTGTCCTCAAGCCCACCACGCTCCCTCCCACCCCAGGCTTTTGGTATATGTTCTCCTCTGGCTATCAAGAAAAAAATATATGAAGCACACACTCGAAGACAAAAGACACAATGTGAAGAGACAGAGCAAGGGTCAGAACAAGACATGCAGGGATGTTGGAATTGTCAGACTGGGAATTTAGAACAGCTGTGATTAATATGTGAAGGGCTCTAACGGATAAAGTAGGCAGCATGCAAGAAATGAACGATCAAGTCCCGCAAAGACAGGAGGAACCTTAAAAGAACATTGTGAAGTGAAAGAAGCCAGTCTGCAAAGGCTACCTAGTAAAGCCTCGACATTCTGGAAAAGAGAAAACTATGGAGACAGTGAAAAGATCAGTGGTCGCCAGAGTTTGGGGAGAGAGGTGGGGAGGGATGAAGAGAGAGCCCACAGAGGATTTTTAGGGCAGTGAAACTATTCTCTGATGATGCTATGGTGGATACAGGGTTTTACACATTTGTCAAAACCAGTTGAATGTATAGCACCAAAATGAGCCCTAATGTAAACTATGGACTTCAGCTAATAATGTATCAATACTAGTTCATTAATTGTGGTAAATGTACCACACCAATGCATGATGCTAATAATTGGAGACATTGGAGCTGGGAGGTGAGGGAAACTCTGTACTGCCTGCTTAATTTTCCTGTAAACTCCCCAAGATTTGGGGGGTGCTCAGTCAGTTTAGCAGCCAACTCTTGATTTTTGGCTGAGGTCATGATCTCAGGGTCCTGAGATTTGTCCTGCGTCAAGCTCTGTGCTGGGCGTGAAGCCTGCTTAAGATTTTCTCTTTCTCTCTCCCACTCCATCTCCCCAGCTGCGCCCTCCTTCTCTCTCTCAAAAAAAAAAAAAAAAAATTTAAATCCATTAATGTTTAAAAAACAACAATGTGTAAGCCTGATGATTCACAGACCTATACCCCAGGGCAAATAACACATTATATGTTAATAAAAATAATTTGTTAAAAAAAAGTTTTTTAAATAAATAAATAAGCAGGTATAATTTGAAAAAAAAAAACAACAACACAGCAATATGGGAATAGTGGCATTAAGTGATTGGCAAGTGTTTTTTGACTTAGTTTACAGCCTGAACTCAGTTGAATGACATGTATTCAGGGACATCTCTTAACGTAGGCAAAGACAGACCCCAAAGTGCCTCCTTGGTGGGTTTTCTGCCGTTTCCTTCATGCTGCAGCTGTTTCTGAACTCACATTTCACCATTTCTCTGCAACTTGCCCCATTTGTTGACTTGCACAATCCCAGCTCTCCCCTGGCCCAGCACTTACGAACAGGGCTGGTATCCTTATGCTGCTGGTATCTTATGCTAGGAGAGTTACTAACCACATTCTTTATCTTTTCCCTTTCCAAGGCAGAGCTGCATAAAGCAGCATAGCAATCATTTCCATAACTAAGGAAAACGAGTAGCTGAGGAGCTAATCAATCACACTACACAATGCCCCAGTAGCTCAGAAATTGGCAACACATGATACCTCTGGAAGTAGAAGAAAAGTTAGATCAGAAAAGAGGAAAGTGGAGAAAGGCAGTTAAAGGAGCAATTAGACCCCCAATGCCCTGATCCACTCAGCTCAGCTAGGAAATAGCCCCCTCCTTCACTCTGCAGAAAACTGTAGGTTCATTCTCCGGAGAGTGCAAAACGGGTTCCCTGGGCTAAGACACCTGAAAGAATTGAAGGCAGGAATTACACACTGGAAGTGGAAGCATCCAGCTCTCTTCTCACACTTGGATTTCAGAATCCTAGAAACC